TAAAAAATTTAAATTTAAACGTGTAGTTATATAAAAGAAATCAATAAATTAAGTATTATATATAGTTAACAGTATACGCATAAATCTGGTTCCGAATATTTTCATTTATTAAAATAATTTTAAGTGACTAGTGAGTTCCTAGTTAATCATAAAATATTATTGCATTTAAGTATTGACATATTTGACGCATAGGAAAATAATTAATCTCATGAGTCTTTCACAATTTGTTAATAAACTAAAAATTACTTATAATAGATCTTGCAAGATCGTACTGAAAATATACTCCAGTACATACATAAAAATATTTATTAGATTAGATTACTCGTAAAAGCAAAATAGATTATGAATGATTAAAATTTGGCATTTTGCGTTTAACTGGTGAATTKAACTACATATTTTTAAAAATAATTTCATGAATTAACAATGCCATATTAATTACAAGTCAACAGCAAGTCAATTGCGATTTGAAATTAGATACTAAAATTAAATTTTTCACTCACGTTTAATTTGGTATTTGTATTAGAATGGTATATTAATCTATTTATATATCAATAATCAATATTTTATAATATTTGTCCAATACTTCATACCTAAAATATTTTTTAGCGTAAAATGTATAATAAATTCTCTACATCACATCAAAACAAACGTAAAAATAATTATAATTGCGTCTGCGATATTGTTTTCGAAAAATTTTCCGATAATGTTATATACCTATAATATTATATGGCTCTATTGTAAATATTATTTCAATGTTGAAGGTGAGTCATAAAAACACAATATTTAGAATATTATAGTGGTGGTGAAATGTTTCTTTTCGTTTTCTAACGCATTCGTTTTGCCCCGTTACCGAAATCCAACATCGGCCGATTAGTGTAAACAGACCTACCTACTCGGTATATACCTACCCTATTACCACGATAACCTAACCTTTATTACCGGAATGTATATTATTGTTACCCATGGCCGGCGGGATTCGTACAATTCGACGGTTACTTTGGTTTTACGGTCACTTTGTCAGTGTTCTCTATAATAGACGTTAAGCTGTCCCTCCAAAGGACCGGAGGCCACTAGCAATAGTTTACTCGACTTACATATATTAATCAAGGTCTGCCGAACAGGCTTCACTGGTACACGCAACAATATATATTTTTACTATATATATACTTCGGAAATGAATTGTCGTGGTTACTGCAGTCAGTGGCCGTCGAGAATTCGCCACGTTCGTAATTACAAAGTCTTTGTGTTTTGAGTTTACGAGGATACAATTTTATAATAATTATAATGCATTTAGTGTCAACTATTTATTTTATCAAATTTTTATGCATTATGTTTTTTTCAYAGGTATTTAATTTACCGTGCCAATTTTGCTCATGCATTTCCCAATATATATTCATAAATGATAATCTGTTTATTGATAATAAATTGACCTAACCTATTGACTGAGCTAAAATATTTTTTATTTTCATAATTACGATTACATAATAATATGTAAAAAATAATGTTACATTAATATTACAAACATACTTCAGGATTAATTTTTTCAATGATTATATTTATACAAAACCAAATATTTTTATCTCTATGATAATCACTATTAGTTATTTTATGTATTTTAAATGACGAGCGGGACAAAAAATACAAATACCTATAAATTGGTTTATCATAAGTTTTTCTCTATCAATTTCAGAATATCACAAAATATACATCTTCTATTATAGGTACAATTTTGTTTGATAAAGTTTTTAGTTTAAATTGTTTGTAACCTTCACTACCTATGAATCGTAATTTATGTACAAAGTTTTTTATTTTTTTATTTTTTTTTTTATTAGCTATTAGTATACAACTATGACAGCTCGACTATTACAGAATTATGTACAAAGTTAATAACACGTTTTGCTTGCAATGTAAACAAATAATATAATGCAACAGAAGCAAATTCTTAGTTCTTTTTTTGTTTAAAATTTTTTATTGCACAATCTATTTCATAATATWATGTATCTAACGATAAGTGAATATATGATATAWGTGAGAAAAAATTACATGATTTACGAAATACTAAGAATTCTCCCAAGTCTTTTAGTAATGAGATGTGGTTACTGTTTACGTATAATTCGCTATTCGTGAAAAATAAATAATAYCTATCACTTATATTTAAAAAAAAATATAATTATACATTAATTAAAATTCAAAAATTATAATTGTATATCGAACAAATTTACGTAAATTTACAAACAATGAATAATATCATTACATTAAATTTCACCGAGTATACTAACATTGGCAAGACGTCCACGAGAATTCTTAACGGATATGGGGAAAGAATTCTTGATTGCAAARTTTACCATCACAAATCCCTTATTCTCATTCTAGCATCATAACATTCATAACAATATAATACATATTAAATCTGAATATATCTTATTTTTATACTATGCCTCATACCAAAAGTATTACATATTCTTAATTTAAAAACATATTTAGAATTTTATTAATTTTTGAGTCATAACATCAAAAACATCTTCAGGATCTATAACTTCTTCTCCACGGATGGTAAAAAATATAAACCGATTGATACCGTTTAAAACTATACTAAATCAGCGAAAAATAGTAATTATTAATTAACATTGATCAGTTTACTCTTTAATTCAGCCATTGTGTATATCTGTTAGKTATGTTTTCAGTAGCTTTATACATGGAACTATTCTCTTAAGATTTGAATTAGACACTTAGTATGGTTCTAATACATAATATTTTAAATAATTTGTAAATATTGGAAATCAAATGTATATATTTATATATAAAAGTAGAATATTTATGACTGTGTCAAAAATTTACGATTTGATTTCAGTTTTGGCYTGCATATACTTGGTTCAGCAAGTGTGGCTTTTGGCTTAAAAATATTAGCTGAGTTGGTAAAATGTAACAAATATTTACTTTAGTTGATGGGTACTAGGTAAGTACTAATATAAATATATATAATATATACATAAAAATAACAAATCAAAAATGATTTCAAAATCATCACAAATTACTGTAATAATTTGTCACTTACAGTATGTGCATGCAAAAACTCCAATATAAAAGGGTCATGAGGTGGGTGGGGAGATTTATCGCCATAATATGTTTTCCCTTTTTACGATAAAAAATAAAATAAATACTTGGAAGTATTATATATATAATATAGAACGATTATCAAAATAATGTTTAAAAAGTTTACTTATTTTACCGCTATAATATTATACCTATAATATTTAGTCTAACACTGATCACAAATTTACAACAAGCCGTACGCGTACTTTACTTAATTTTACTTTAGCGACTGCGGCATTATAAGCATAAGTTAACTAGAATTAATGTTTACCACGGGTCACATTACATAATAAAAACTAAACAAAAGTATTAAATTTACATTTTCTTGGAGAGTGTTTTATATAGAATGTATCATTATGCTATTTGCATGTTTATACGTTATTACGTCTGTATGTTAAAACAACGCAGATATTATGATAATCAAGTGTAAACGGTGTACGATGTAAGTAGTAGGTGCATTATTATTATTATCATTATTATTGTAYAATTTTGTAAAAGATAATTTGTCGAGGGTATTTAATTTTATATAATTTATCATTTCGTGTGGTGTTTATACATTATAATATGATTTATAAAAACACAATTCTATTAAACGAATTTTCATGGTTATTTTCACACCTTTGAATAAATGTTCGGATTCAGGCTAAATATTATTACGATTGTGGTTTAATATTTTGTCAGATAACTACTATATTTCTATTTATTACACTCTATTCCTGTATTTCACGTCAATTTCAAAATKTCCATTTTTTTTTCGATTAAAATACTTTTAACCAATTTAAGCTGGATTTTTATTTTCTAAGATCTGAAATCCACGTATACAAGTATATACGACATCATTTCGATCGTTCTCTTTGCTATAGTGATAGAATTACTATTATATACGATTAGTTACGAAATATAAATAATCGGTTTTTGAAATTTCATGGATATTGCTGTGTTTTCCAACTACGTAGTACATGTGCATATAGTATTATGTGTCAATAGWATCATCGAAAATTTACTGATTMCCTTAAGGGCCTTTATAAAAAATTGAATTATACTTTTTCAAAAACGATCCACCGACGTCCTTTATCAAAAATATTCACAAATAAATCGTGTACCTACTACTACCTATTTTACTCTTTTAGGACTTTTATTCCGACGTGTTTTATGTTTTTCGAATTAAGTTTTTTTATTCTTCCTCGCGAGATTCATAGATTATAGATATAATTTATATGTTTTGTTTTCGTGGCATTTACCTAAAATTTTATATTTCCTGTCATATTGCCATATTGGAAACTTGATGATTGACGAATACCGTTTATTTTAAACACTCATTCATACACATGCGTTTATTTACTCCTATCCAATTGCATAATTATAATAGTATAATAATAGTATAATATGTTTCTTCCTATATGTATCTATCATACCATAAATAAGTAGTATTATTTAAATTTAAAAAAACATTACACATGAACAATATAAATATAATAATGATATGACATAGTTGATGGCGTACAAACAGACTAGTTTGTCGTAATTTTAATTTTTCTCTTCTATTTCCGGYKTGACTTACGCCTCTATCTATTGTATATATATATTATGCGTACTTGCTGTACACGTTTTATGTAATATATACATAAGCCGACAATAGGTTTAATAATACTGTATACCGACTGTACCGTCCGCTTTAATTAAATCCGGTGATTTAGCCTTTCATTTTGTCTTTCCTTTCCGAAAACGATAATATTCGTATACCTACTTACGCCCAATTGTAGTATGAGAGAAATTTTTTTCTTACTTCTTCTTATTTTTCTTCTATATTTTATTCGTCACCCGCGTGGCGCGCGTATCATCGCCACCGTCCCGATTCGGCGCCGCCACGGACGATCAGAGTCGTATTCCGGGTGACGACTCGTTGCGTGGCGCACGTGCGAGCATACTGTTGTGGGTGACTCGATGGTGGTGCCAGTGGCGATTTTAGTAATATAACGCTCACGTGCGGAGTATATGTCTTAATATTAATGTCATTATTATTGTTTTCGCTGTTGTTGTTATCGTCGATATTTTTGCGGCTTACATTTTTGGACGTCGAAAGATTATCTAACATAATACAATCTTGACGTTGTCGTTGTTTTTGTTGTTTTTGTTGTTGTGTCAAAAGTGTAGTGATTTTTTGCAGACATCAAACAGACCAGTTACTCTTTTAATAAATTATATGTGAGTACTTTTGTAAAGTATCAATTAAATATTATAATATAATTTTTAAATGCTTTTATATTGCAATATAAGGAAATAGTATTACTATTAAGACCATACCTTCTTAAAATGTTAAACTATGTTCTTGTATACATATGATGTGTAAGGGCTTCTGTATCAATAAACAAAACCAGGGAACTCTCTCTGATATATAGTGGTTTGGTTACCTCATCATTGAGTAATGAAACTGTAATGAATATATTAAATTTGAATTCAATGATAAATCATTGTATATSAAAAACGATTCTGAATTATAAAATTAGATGGATGAATCAGCATTTATTTTTGAGAATGTTTAAGTTAAAGAGCTGATTTATAGATTCTTAAATGTTTCAAATAATATKGTTATAATAATATAATATGCTAGGTACAAAAAGATYTTAAAATACTCTCTTAATAATCCTTGAACTGTTATAGCTTTTTTATTTAGTTCAAATAACTTAAAAATCTGAACACAAGATACGATAAAAAACAAATGTATAGGTAATACTATATGGTTAATTTAAACTTATAATTTATTATTATTTAAATTTATATTATTTACATTTATTTTATTTTATCATTCAATAATTGCGTAACGTGTAATAGGTATTATGCCTAAACTTGAAAAAATTACTACACACTTTCTTAAGAGAGTTATTTAATCACATTTAAAAGAAATGAAAAAATTWAATCATTTTCTATCTAATTATAAAAAAGTTAGAAAACGATTTCTATCAATTTCCATTTTGAAATTAATTTTTTTTATTTAACAAATCAACTTGAGAAATGGACAAATATTATTTTTTATGCATAATAATAATTTACTCTCTAATATGAAATATAGGTTGAATATTCTCTTGTTTTCAAATATAATACAATATGCATAATCATTTATTGTAATTCTGTAATGTATCCTTTGTATTGTACCTCCATTGATCTACATAAAGTCAGTAAAATGTAAAAATCTACAAATCTGTTCTTAAATTGTACTAAATTTATAGTTATATTATTATTATTATTTGTATTATTTGAATATATTTTGAATTCAGTAGGTTAAAATATTTTTTACCAAAAAAATCGCATAACTATTATAATTTCTTTTTTTCTTATCTTAAGACAATTAACAATCTATAAAATAAGACGACAATCAATAAATTTTATAAATGATTATAAGTATGTTGGTATGTACCTACTTATAGCATGTAGTAGTACATGATAATAAAACCACATATTGATAACACCCTATATGCGTATAGCTTATTAAGTAATAAGTCAATACTGACATAATAYAGAATGCAGTGAATGGGTTTGGGTATGAAATATAAATAGCTTAAAACAAGTTATAATATTTAAAATATCATTGTGTATAAAAATAATAAGCGCTTGCATGAAAAATATCGTGAAATTTATTTTCGATATTTTTGAATTTCTGTAAGAAAAATTAATTAGAAATATTTATTGCATTTTAACCAAAAAATAACAATTTTATTAACATCAATCTTAACATTTTTCAGATGTCTATAATAATAGATAAAAAATATTTTTATTATTTTTATGTTATATCATATCTATACTTTAACATCTTTCAATTATTATTGTGATCAGGGGCGTGGCTCTACTACCTAACCTAACTTAACGTACAGATTTTTGACTCAGTTAAGTGACAAACGGGTGTTATCTGACTGATGCTCGATGAAAACTTTTAGTAGCAGAAGTTTATTCTTTAATGTGAATAGATCATAGAAGATGGTATAAATTAATATAAATATTTGATGAAAAAGTCAAAACTGTCTACGGATATTTATATTTTGTAAAAAAACTTGTGTARATATTCTGATATTCAGTTGTTTTTTGGTTAATGTCAACAAAATTATTTTGAAAAATTTGTTGATTGTTCTATATTTTTAGCTTCACAAAGTAATATAATTAACAGTTTATTATAGAATGTATATTTTATAAGATTACATTTTTGTCTTTGAGATGTAAAATTGTATACTCATAATTATTTTAATCCCTTAAGATATTTTCTATATCAAAGACATTTATGTAACTGTGTATATTTTCCCTTCAACTAGTGAGTTATCTTAATTTAAATCGTTTCAAAATCAACAATTTATTTATTTTTAATAATCATAGTTTTTCACTTATTACAGAATAATGAAAATTTATTATTATATTTTTGGATTTCAGAGTGACCTTAGACTACTTGTCTATTTGTATAATTCTACTATTTACATCAGCTGTACTTACCTATATAATTGTTTCATAACATTAAATTATACCTCGAATATTCGCTAATGAACTTGACCAATAAATTTATCGTTAATATATAATATATATCATATTATGACATGTATTATAAATAATAAACTATGTAAAAAAAAACAAACTACAATTTAAAAATGCATTTTATAAATATCCCAATATAATGTCAAACTTTGAATGATTGATTTTTTACAAGGGTTTGCTAAATTAACCTTTGCATTGTAAATTATAATTGAATTTTTTTTCATTAAAAAAACAATATAATTAAAGACTGTTAAAGATAATAATATGTATATATACATACGAWTTTTTAGGATAATTTGCTTAGATTTCAACTTGTAGTTATATTAAAACTTTACATTGTTATTTTAAGCTATTAAGCTATTTTAATATTTAACAGATCTAATGATGTTATGTAAATTCCAGATACATATTATAAAAAACTCTCTTTTAAATTAAATTAAATTACTCCAAATCATTTTGAACCAGCATTTTTTATTTTTCAAACGGTCATCTAATAGCTTTGTTGAATGGTCCATCAAATGAATTATAGCTATTGTTATAGAGGGAAATATTTTTTGTTTTAAAACTCTTTCTATCGTAAGACCTCAAATGAAAATGTAGACAGGATCTCTTTATTGTTCGAATCACAATAATTTAAACAATATAGTAACTATTTTAAGTCTAATTGTTTGAAATATACTATTCGATAATGGAAATTTAATTATGTGCTTATATAATAATTATATTATAATTCAGAGAAATATTTTAATGCAATAATTTCAGTGAAGTATTAAGAACGCAAAAATATTACCCTTAATTATTATCTAAGCGTAATTATACTAACGCAGATYCTTTAATCTAACTGTAAAACTATTTTTAATACCTGATCTATTGAAATTTATATACCTTGTAGTTATTTGAAATTAGAATACTTTTTACTTATTTACATTTTAAAACATAATTTTATATATATATACAACACTCTCCACACTATAGTCAAAGAATTCAAAATACTTATTCAGAACATTAGAGAAAATTCTGCACAATATGATTTATAGCATGCATTTTAATGATTTTTACATTGTGTGTCTTTCATATACAGGGTGTCCCACGAGGATTTACCCATTGCGATATATCCTGAAATAATGGAGATATCAAACTTGTGGTTTTTTAATAAAACTCACAGGGATAAGATCGAACTACAATTATTTTATCATTTTATTTATTTTAATGTTTTGGTAAAAAATGTAAAATATATATAAATATATTTTTTACTTAATTATTTCAAAAATAAAATTAAAGATGTCCATTTTGTAGAGTTTAAATTTACGTTAAAACATTTTTTTTWGTTTCAAGAAAAATTGCGATTTATTTATTACCGTAGTGTTATCAAACATGTAAAACGTCGCACCACATGCGTGTTCGTTCTACGACCAGCCAAACAATTTCAAAGTGCCTAGTTATAATCATATTTTATTTCTTCAAAACTAGAAAAACAAAGACTAAAAACAGGAAATTAATAAAAATAAAATTTGGAAACAKCAATATTTTCAGAAACATAAACTCTACAAAATGGCAATAGTAAATTTTAATAAACATTAAAATAAATTTCAAAATGAAATAATTGTAGTTCTCATCCCTGTAAGTCTTATATAACAAAACCAAAATTTTGTTATCTACATTACTTTATGAGAAATTGCAATGGGTAAATCCTCGCGAGACACCCTGCATATTTCCACACCTTATTAATTATTAAATACATTTTAGGTGACGCATATAACTTTTTTTTCCGTGTTATCGAGAAYCACGGAGAGGACTGGGAATTAAGGAAGGGACTGAGAACCAGRGAGGGGACTGTTAGTACGTAGCTGTCCTAATCTCTTTTTTCTCCAATGTTTTGTATTTTATTGGTTTCAAATACAGTTATTACCATATTTCATAGTTAGGTTTGTCTGTTTTACAGGAAAGCATTATAGGAAAGCACAGAAAGTTTTAGGTACGCATTTTGAACCCATATTACATCGTGTACTTAAAACATTTATGTAGTCGGTAAAAAAAATATATTTGTATATTTCAATACATTATCTAATAGATTATACATAACATCATTTAATCATGAACTTATATATCGATTTATGCATTTATATTTACTACAGTAGATACTAGATATATTGTGTATAATATTAGGTAAATATTGAATTTAATAAAATACAATTATTATAGCGAATAATATTTGAATATAGGGTATTCATTTCTGAACACATAATATTATGACATAGAAAATGCATAATTAATGAGAGTTATTAATAAATATTTGTATAAAACACTATTACTTCAAACAAGAAAATTGTAGAAGTGAAAAGTAGGTTGTTTTGTGAGTTAGAACTTAAAACTCTGTAATTTTTGTGCACCTGTTTTTAGTTCAATGTATTCATATAGATGTGTTGCAATGGGTGTTGTCTCATGACCATTGGGCATTAAATTAAAAAAATAAAATGTCGAGAAACTCTTTTTGATAATACTATGTTATTTGATGTATACCTTTCTAAGTGGTCCTTGAAATATGACATTGAGACACTTTTTATAGTTTCGAGGATATCCAATATAATAAGGTTTAAAAGAAAAAAAATAATAACTCAATAACACCTTTATTGTTGTATGTCCACATTTTCATTGTTTTGACATATAGTATATAGAAATTGATACTAGAA